TTTCTCAAAAAATGCTTGAATTCAAGAAGTTTTAGATTTGCGTGTTTTTTTTTGAGTTGCAAAATCCACTTGAACATGACGCTGCTTTTTTCGAAGTTCCTCAAGAACCATTCGAGCCACAGAATTCGTTTTGGCATCGTTGGATAGAGAATTGAAAACTCGATTCAGTCGTAACAACGTGAGTGAGGAAATTCGAATAGTACACACGGTTTTTCCAATTTTAACTATAGTTACTAATTTTGGCTGTGAGTTTCCAAATAATACTAAAAATATGCACTACCAACATTAAATCGCCACTTAGACATAAAAACAGCTTGGAGAGCAAGCCACTCATTTCCCCAAGGTTTTGGCCTCCAGTTAAGAAACACTCTGTATATAAAGGCTGCACGAGAAGACTAGGCTTGCACTAACCTATAAAAGCCGTTGTGTTTTTCAAATTAATGAACAAATCAAACCCGATGAGTAAGGAACTAAAAAATTCCATAGCAATTCTATGCAAACTGATCAACGCTCTCCATGAAACCAGTTTGAAGCCTGAGCATTTTCGCCTGGCAAAATTCGATCAAAATGAAGAAAATACCGTAGATATTCCTACAAGACTCATGTTGCTGAAACTCTAAAAAAACCGTTTTAGGTGGAAGTTTTATGGGGCGTTTTGGGAAAGATTCTGAACGAAACTAGTCCAGTGGCTATTCAGGAAAAAGTCTTCAGCCTTCATTACAATAGAACGCAATTTTACTGCCTGCAAAGGGAAAACCTGTGTGGAAGTAGGGAGTTGCTCCTTGCTCTGGGTTTTCTAATAGGAACGACGGTTGAAAGGGATTTACGGGAAAAGTTGGAAAGTAACCCACTGCCCCCCGTAAACCATTTCGCCCCCCAGCCACTTTCTGCTGACTCAAATGATCAATTCGAGTGGAAAAAATTAAATGAACGCGATCTAGAAAAGTACAGAAAGTGGCTGGTTGGTCACATCGCGTCCAACCACGACATGATTTCTGAATATAATGAGCAAATACGCAAGATACAGACCAAAGTAAGAAGCAGCATGATTGAGCACAAAAAAAACTCAAAATAATGATTTTCTAGTACGACAAATGTTTGAACATCAAAGCCCATAATATGCTCACAATCTATGAAATACTAGCATTGAAAGACAAGGAAATTGGGGCGCAATTTCTACTCGAAACCGAACGAATCGTCTGTATTATGGGAATTTACCAAGAATGGACTAAAAAGGAAAAAATATTCTGGAAATGGATGGTTTGTATTATACAACTGCCCAAATGTATATATCACCTTTTGAACCATTGGTTGGGTTTTAGGCTAGTGTGTTGCAGGAGGCCAAAAAAACCAGTTGAAGTGGCGTGTTTCCAATATATTGTAAAATAAATCAATTAATTGCATCAAGAACATCTTTTCACTGATTCCATTGAAGTCCAAATGTATCCAGATTCGGCACACGGCTTGCTGGAGCCATACGGCGATATTTTCGATTTATAATAATCAGATGGGGCGTGCATTATGAACTCCATGCAATCCAAACTCCTTGGAAAATCCTCTTCAGGCCCTAACCCAGCAACGGAATTCATAGCCAAACCTTTCACTGTAAGCAGCATTAATACGCACCAATAATGTACGTGGCTGGATCGAATTCTTCATTCGGGGGCGGACTTTCCGCGGAAGGAAACAGCCACTGAAGAACGGCGCTCTTACTGCAATACTGGTCAGTCATCAGGCCAGTTATTTGAGCATAATAGCAGTCGTTATTTTCGTCCTTAACCGATACTATATCGCCCACTTGAATGTAACTTCCCTAGCAGTCCAACCATCAAAATCAAAGCCCTAAATAATCACTATTGCAGACTACTCACTTTATAAAAAACATGATCACTCGTTACAACAGTGGCAACTGATGCTGGGGCTTTCATTGGTACCTTCTTAAACAAGCCCCTGCGGCCTCTGCTTTTGGGGGCCGCTGGCTGTTTTGGGGTAGCAGTTGGATTGTGTCGAGTTTTGTACGATCGCGTGGCCCTGGGCCGCTTTTTTGTCGGCTTCTCATCTTCCTCGTCCTGCAAAAGGGGCCAATCATCACTCAAAACAACAAGGTTTCACTTGTATACACACCTTTGCATCTGCTTCAGCCTCGTTGTCTTTTTTCGCCTCGTTCACACACTCAAAACATATCACTCCTAAATTTTCAGCATTCGTCCAAAACGTCGACTCTGTAGATTCACATTTTAGGCATATAATTGGGGCTTTGTAAGGCATTTCTAACAGTGAAAAGTTCAAAATTGCCAAATACCAGGTTATGTACTGGTGTCAGAGTCTCTGCTAGTGTTTTTATTAGTAAATTTATATGGGCAACACTGTAGCAATTGACCTGGCATTCAATTGCCTTAAGGTTTTGTTTACGCGTTTGTCATAATAATAGAGAATCATATCAAATAGTAGCTAAAAATTATTAAACAATGTCCAAAATACGCGATAGGAGACTGCGGTTTAGCATCGAACAGGATTTGCAGCTTCTTAGGGAAGTGATCAGGCAAAATCCCTTCGAGGAGGTGGACAGATGGACAAAAATACATGAAAACTTCGTCAATGAATGTAACGTGCCTTTTTCGCTACGTACATGCAAAGAACACGCAACTCATCTGCTAAATCTCCACTTGAAAGATGCCTTGAAGGTGTAAGTAACTATTTAACTAGAAAATATCGGACAAAACTGCTACGTGCCACAATAACGCATATTGTTGATATCGTGCTTCATTTAGACGCCCCAGAGAAACCGACGACGACTTTGCCGAAAAAAAGAAATATTTGGATCAAATTGTCGACATCAGAAGGCAGTTTGGTTTAGAGAAAACGTCCCGCAGGGGTTCCCGACATGCAAACTCTTGGGAAGGTAACATTCAAAAGCAATTTTCATTGAAATGGAAGCACACACAAGCTGTATTATTTTAGAAGAATTTTCCACATCGACAGTGAAAAAGGAACTAACGCGTTTTGTAAAAGAAGAGGACAGCGATGGTAAGTGCTCACCTAAGAAAATCCATGAGGTCACAGTGAAATTACATTGTTTGCAGACGATTTCTATTGGGATGAAGAGAACGAGCGAGAAAAAAAGGAAAAGGAACGGGAAGCGAAATCAACCGAGGAGAAGGAACGAGACAGTAAAGATGTCGAGGGAAAACTGAGAAAGCAAGCGCTGGCTCTGGCAGAACGCAAATTGGCTCTTAGAACCATGAGCCTCAAACTGGAGGAAGAAAAGCTGGAGTTAGATATGCTGGAAAGAACCGCCAGATTAGAAATGGAAAGGGCCGAAAGGGAGGCCTATAGGCAAGTTGCCATGCACAATCAGTCAATAATCACAGCGCTGATGGACAGGTACAACAGAGGCAATGGAGGGAATAATCTCTGCATTTTGTAACATGCATAGGAGGGTCATTGTATCAACGGTTTTATTGGCATTAAGATTATATATAAAATGGTATTATGATATAAGTATTCTACAGATTGCAGCAGATTTGGTAAGACTCGAATAAGCGTTACAGTGAGGAAATGCACGAGAATCTACTTATATAACAGTGGGAATAAATAATTTGTTATCAGAGCTTTAATGTTTGCAATTCGGTTTCCTAATGTGATGGTAATTAGGCAACAGCTTTACCAACGTTTCCATTTGCAACGTTTGAGGCTGAAACAAAAATCAGTGCTTAAATGTTATTGAAGAATAATGAGGGCTTGTGGCATTGCAAACCCACGCGAAAACTCATTACAGATAACCGCATATTTCAAAAACTCCCAACAGTAAATATAAGGTTTTTCCTATATATCCTAATATAATAAGCCGATTGCAACCAGCAGTGTAAGAACTACAAAGCCCCGAATAGAAGCCGGAAAATTGCTCGAGGATTCCCTGGGTATTTAAACCTGGTTTAGCCCAAAATAACGATATCCTGGAATATCTACGCCACTTCACCGATCTATGACGTTCCGTTATGGCCAAATTACCGGAATGTGAGCGCCGAATAGCTGTTTGACGAGAACTGAAACAACTTCGTTCCCAATTGCTAAGCGGCGATCGGGCATTTTCTCATAAAAGATGCTAAAGTTGATGGATTGGACTTGCAAAACGAAAAACTACACAGAAGCAGAATCGCCCGTTAATAAAAAACCGGAGAGTTTTCGAGAGAAAATAATTATTTTCCACCACGACTGTCTAACTTACAGGGATAAAGCGAACGATCCGGATTTTGCGGACAAATTTGCGTGAAAACGGTGATAAATTTTGAACAAAATTTTATACAGAAAAAATTGTAATGTTGCTTACATTGCTTAAAGGGGCTTTCTGTTGCACTCTTATGATTCTGTTTAGTCAAATAATGCAAGTTGATCAGCTTCTTGAGTTGAGTTCCGCAATTTTCTCGCGTTATTTCAACTTTTAGAAGACGACAAGTTTTAATTATCAGCGCAACGTCGTGATTGTTGTGCATGGTTTAGGCTCAGTTCTCTAAAATAAAATTAAACAAATGTATAAAAGAAACTGTTTGAATTTTTCGCAAAAAACTTTTCTCTTCTGTGTGTCTTTCTTTGCAGCTATGCCTCAAAAGACACACAGAAGAGAAAAGACAATCACGACGTTGCGCTGATAATTAACACTTGTCGTCTTCTAAAAATTGAAATAACGCGAGAAAACTGCGGAAAACTTCGAAGAATTTATCACAAGCCTACATAAAATTAGAGGTATTTTAACAGCAGTGAATAATGCAAATAATCGCAGACACAAACCGCAAAATCCCCATCCATTTCACTGTAGCAGATGGAAAGGAAGCGAATTACGGGAACCAAAGTAGAATTTGTGAACGCAGTCATACCACGCCTTACGCTAAATGCGAGGTCACCAGTATCGAATCGATACGACAAACGACAGTGTTTGTCGGGACGCTAGACTTGCCGGTACGCCAAACGTTATAATTATCGTCAACTTTTGCGAGTTCTCCCCTGATTTCCCAACGAAATTCAGCCTGAACCGTATTAATAAGCTCGGAATAAATGAGTCGCAAATCAATGGAACGGTTACGATACACGAACGAGCACAGTTTGATGCTTTTAAAGGAAGTTTTAGATAGAAATCCGTTCGAAGACCCTTACAGATGGAGTACGGTTCATGAGAATTTCGTACGCATGACGGGTCGTCCGTATACTTTGCGTTCGGTTAGGGAACATGTCGACTATCTTTTGAAGCTTTACGTAAAAGGAGATTTAGAAAAGTAAGATATTAAGGGAACGATAAGTGAAAATAAGGTGATAACCCGTATTACTGCACTTGACGCTATTTTCGCTTTAAATAAACAGTGGCGGAGCAGAGGCATTTTCCAGTAACTTTGTCGATTTGTCTTTAAAAAAGTGAATGGAATTTTGTTATCAGCGAAATGAAATTTTATTCTTTTGGGCCGCAATCTGGAATTTCTTACTTTATTCAGTGTCTTTTGGCAACAATTTTCAATATTCAATCAGTCTGTTTTATGTTCCGAAAGTTTCTGATCTACAGGGCGTTAGTTAGCTTAACGGCTTGCAATCAACAAGTTAAAAATAAGCAAGCTTAGAACTGTAACAAACCAAATTGGTATAATCCAACTGCTTCAAAAACAGCGAAAATTCAGAAATCCATTTTAAATTTAAAAGAAACCAGCAGTTTTCGGGAAAATTCGTCAAAAATCCCAACCATCTAAACCCACTGAAAACAGAAGCGCTGCTCCAACAAATACTACCCATCTGTTCCAGTAAAGCCAGATACAAAGGAAGCGACGAGGAACATGTAGAAAAGCTGCAACTACTTCACGAAGTGCTGGAACTGAAAGAAAAATACTTCGATGTAATCCAGGAGCGAAAACCCGCAATGGATCGCAGTAGCAAACGTGCCAGATCGGAAGCATGTAAGATTCCCCATGCAGCCTTTATAAAGTTTTATGCTACGTATTCCAGCCTCGCATGATGATGTTGAATCAACGGACATGTTCCTGGACGAAGATCTCAACGACGACTCAGTCCCTCCACCTCAGAACTCTGGGGGTATTTCTGCGTTAACTCAGGACGGAGGTAAGCAGGGCAATGCAAATAAACCGCACGAAATTAACTGGTTTTGCAGGACTGGCTAATGTGGCCACTCTGCAATTCCTCAAAGACAAACATACGAGTGACGTGGACCTAAGGAGGGCTGAAGTGGAAGTGCAGGAGAAAAAAATCGCGCTTGCTGAAAAGGAATTCAAACTGGCCAGGGAGAAATTCGACTTGGAAAAGCAAGAACGACTAAGACGATTGGACCTGGAACAGCAAGAGAGGGCGATGCATTTAAAAGTGTTAGAACAACAGCAGAAGCTGATTCAAATGTTTTTTGACCAACATAAATGAACAGACAGAATGATGTTCTGTGTTGTTTTTTTATATTTGCAATAAATATTATTATAAGAAAAAACTTGGGTACTTGGAAGGCAACTTACCGCCGGTTTGTCCAAACTCTCCCTCATGTGGCACTTAGCCCCAAATATCGAGACATTTTCCTTCAAGATTTGCTCATCAGTTACAACACAACCAGTCCCAAATGTGCATCCATTAGTGACGGTCACTTTGTTTCCCACAAAGCATTTGGCCTCAAAAACGTTATTATTGCCGATTTTGAGGGCCTCAACTGTACAGCCCACTTCAAAGACGTTATGAGATCCTATTATTAGAACAGGCGTGTTTTCCTTGTTTTGCTGATCCAGAGGCAACCTGAAAGGAACAATTGATTCGTTAGGACCAAAGCGCGAAAGTGAGTGTGAATTTAAAACAGTTCACCTGTGAACAATTTTCGCTTGTTCCTCAATCAAGCACTGCTCGCCAATGATAATGGGGCCTGCCTCAGCTACGATTGTGGCACAGGGGTGAATGATTGTTCCTGATCCCACCGTGATGTCGCCCCTCAGCTTTGCCTCCTCGCAAACGATCGCACCGGGGAATATTTTGATGCTGAAACCATGTTAATGCTGAAACCCACACTCTACTGAAAATCTAAAACTTTGTTACCTGTTCTTCGACATTTTTATGTTTTTATTGGCTTCTAACTTAAAGTTGGATGGAATTAAGCAGTTAGAACTTTGAATCGTCCATAAACTCCAAAAAAACAGTTATTTAAGCACCTGGATGAGATTGTCGCGTGCTTTTTACAGGTTTAAATCAGGTTAGAAACAGAAGCAATTCATGCCTGGGCGGATAAAATTGTCGTTAAAATCCTCTAAAATTGGGTTTTTGCAAAATTTTGTGGATGTTTTCAAATCAGCTCATTGATTGAGGTTAACTGGCACGTCACTTTATTTACTTCATCTACAGAAGGCCATGTTGCCACTTGTTTTTGCACGCCCAGAGTTCATAGCAGACACCATGGGCGTAGTTGGTTTCGTTATTATACTTAATTAAATACGCAGGGTGTTTTTTAAAAAAGCCAAATTTTTCGAGTTGTGTACTAAGGAAAGGACCGATATTGTTTTATAGTTTCTTCCAGTTGTTGAACTTTCCAGCACATTTTATATGGTTAATTGGCAGAAAAAAATAATGATTTTCGTTTTTCGGATAAACAACTGCAATATTTATAAAAAAAATTAGAAAAAAAGCCAGTTCGCTTAAAATCTCAAACTTGAATCTGTGAGGTTTTGTGAATTGTGAGCTTTTAAAGACCGGCCTTGATATTGGCGCACATTTTTCAAAGGTAAAGTTTGGAAAATCGCAGAAAATCAACGGATTATCGTAATTATTCAAAACTTTCCGCAACAGTCAGCCAAGGCATCGTCTATTTTGACTGAAAATTTCAAATTTGACTGACTTTGATGAATTTTTAAAAACCAGCCAGCAAAATTGAACCCATTTAGGCTTATCAAAATTGCATCTTTCTATTTAAATTATGGCTGTTTAAACTTGTTTTAATAGAATCGAGTACTGATGAAGTCTTTACAACCTAAAATCATCAATAATGATTTTATGAACGCCAAAGCGGAAATGCACTTGGCAAATAAGCAGAAAAATCGTTTAATGCCCCCAGTCACGGATCCTAAACAGTTGTTGGGCATTTTGCGGCGTTTACGCTTAATGACTGTAATTTCCACATTTTCTATGCAAATTGATTGCATGCTTAGGCTTCTATTATCACTTTGTAAAGAAAGTACAGCGGGGGCTTCGGCAGGGCCATGGGGATGGACGTATTTTTATAAATAAGTAATTTTTAGGGCTCTCAACACGCATTGAACACTAATGGCTTCTGTGACTAAGAAATATGTTATTTCTCATCTCTATAGTTTGCAATAATTCTCTGGTTGAAGGCGAACTAAAGCTGGGCCAAATGATTTTACGGACGGAACAACTTGAAAGCATTTTCTAATCCGGGTGAACCACATTTGGTCGACTTTGTTGCACGGATGAGCTCTTCCTGCGGCATTTCAAAGAGCGATCTGTCACCGTCCGCGTTTACCGAAGTGTGACACCGTCTCATCACATGTGGATGATGCTCATTCGCGTAACTACCCTGATTTATAAGTCTGCATGTTTGTTGTCGCGAACAAATGAGCCAATTTATGGCTTTACTACGCTTTAGTCGGCTCGAAAATTCATAGTTCGGCTCGATATCACTTCAAGCAACTGAGATAATGATAGAACGGATAGGAAATGAGCGAGGGGGATTAAATCGGGGGAATCGGCAGGAAAATTCACATTTGAGTCGAAAGAAATTCATCACTGTTCATTCCAAAAGCCATTCGCCAAAGGCGAATGATATTCAAGTGGGCGTTCAAATAATCGCCTCGTTGCACATTTAGTCAGTGCACGTGAGAGGTTGTAAGAGGCAAGTTGGAGCAATTTTCAATTTCCTTATTTGTGCATCCAGTGGCAGCTCGTGGAGAGTAACGGTGGGCTCACAAAACCATTGTACAGATATGCAGAAAAAACTGCATTTGCCGATCGAATTCAAACTTTTTAGAGGGAATTTCAATATGCGGCATGATTTTCGCAAAAAAGCCATCCAATAAATAGAATATTAATCATTTATCCGAATAATTGTAGCGTAAAACCTGCTCTTTCCGGTACTTACGGTACGGTTAGTTTGAGAGCTAAAGCTTTACAAATAATTAAAGAAATTTTAAGTGCGGCCATGTTTGCCAGCACCAGTCAGGCCAGATTGAAAATTCGTGATATTTTGGAAAACTGGAGGATTTTTACGGGATTTTTCCACCCTATAGGGTGTAACCTGCTCTTTCGACTGGTATCCTTAGCAACTTTTCAGGGTACTTGATTTGGGAGTTGCGAATTTTTAAGTGTGACCGTATTTGCCAGGAACAGTCGAGCCGCAGTTTAGATTGAAAAATTCGCTAACACATGGAAGAGCTGACGATTTGAAAAAAATCACACCCGAAAGTGAAACCAAATCAAAACCTGCGCGATTTCTTGATGCCCTCAGAAAATTTCCCGAATATTCCGATTGGGAGTTGCGGAATTTTAGACGCGACCATGTTTCCCAGAACCACTCTGGCCGGGGCGAAGATTGGAAAATTCGCTACATTTTGGGTCGTTTGATCATTTGAACCAAAGTTTCCACTAATGTAAAGCAAAACCTGCTCGTTCCACTGCTGTGCTTGACAAATTTTTTCTATCCCTTGTTTGGGAGTTACACATTTTTTAGTGAGGCTATGTCTGTTGTCTAGATTGAAAAATTCGCCATTATTTGCCCAATTCGCGGATTTTTTCGAAACATTCCAAAATTGTAGCACAAAACTTCCCCTTTTCACTGCAGCCCATGGTAGCCTTTCATTTGTCTTCATTTGCGAATTACGAATTTTTAAATGTTTCCCAGAACGAGTCGGGTCAGGGTTTACATTGCAAAATTCTGCACAATTTGGGCAATTCGGGAATTCTTAGGACATTTTTGATCGTTATAGAGTGAAAAAATAGAGTCTCAAATGTTTCACTGTGGTCAAGTTTCCCCAGACTCTAGAACTGGTCCGGTCGGGGTCTACATTGAAAAATTCGCTTTAATTGTTGTGGAGTAAAACTTGCTCTTTCCACTACTGTTTCTCGGAAATTTCCCGGGTGCTTCATCAGGGAGTTACAAATTTTTATTTGCGGTCGTTTTTGTTAGGGCTAGTCTGGTCGGGGTCTAGATGATAGGAAACACTGCAAGCAAAACAGTGCATTTTTTGTTGCAACTACACAACCAGGACACTTTTTTTGATATTGTTTGACTTAAAAAACGCTTTTAGGGGTATTTTTAGGCTCATTCATTTGCCGCCGAGAAAGTTAGATGAAATCTAGAATAGTGGGCATTATTTTTCGCAAATGAATGGACAACAAATGTTCTTTTGAAACTAAAATGTATTTTTTGTGTGTATGTAGACAGGATGTTCACTGCGCCGTTGAACCTATGGAGAAACCGTGCTTGTGTGCACCCCAAACTTGCATATTTTGAGACATTAAACACTAAGAAAATCTGAAAAAATTGGGACGATTTTAACTGGATGATTTACAATCTGCTGCACACATCACGTTACAGTAATTTTGAACAGTCTGGCTTCAATGAAACCATTTTTTCCATGGACATTTGGCTGGATTTTAAAAGTGAGCGAGCTTGGGGCCCCCGCCTGTCGTTGCTGATTGACGGCAAAACAATGGGGCCGACAGTGCTACAATGGTAGCGCTTTAGTGTCGCAAGCGTGTTCGTTAATTCGCCATTATCGAAATATGACGCCTGCAATTCATTGTTTGCAGGCGCTAATTCCCTGATTGTTCACATCCAATTTAGGGGGCCCAAAACTTTATTTTCTACTGCTCATTCCAAACCTTCAACAAACTGAGACTAGAAAGGATTTTGATAAGATATCAATCTAATCGTCATTGCCAAGTAATCTCCTCCATCTGCAGCCAATGAAAATTGCCTCTAGGAAGCCAACAAAAGAGCGCATAGTAGTTTAAAACGAGCAAATTAACACATTTCCTGCCCGATCCCGAAATAGTAAATTATGACATGTACAAATAACTCGGCTGCTTACGATGGGTTACAGGCGCCCAACCGTAAAATCCTGGATGGAAATTACTGAAGAATTCCAAGGGTGTGAGCCATAAATCTTCCAGCAAACTTGTATGGTTTAACAGTTTTTAGCGCGATGATTGGACGGCAATTTTCGAGCACTTGATGAGATTTTGTATAACGGCTACAGATAAATGGGTATTGGCAACGAGAAATGACCAAACTTCTCGGTGAATTCATCGGCTTCATTGTACTCAATGTGATTTTCCTCTTCGGCGTGAAAACGCCAGAAGTTCTTTTCGGCGCGCGACAACTTATTACACCAAGCCTGGAAAATTATCGTCATCCATCAGCCACAGTTTACCACTTGGCAGTAGACATTACTTGCTCATTGTGGCTTATCCAGGAAACTTCCATGTCGTTTCCATATTTCAGGGCGGCCGCAGTGGCCTTTTTCATGATTTTGAACGTTTCGTTGTATTTGTTCGTCAAACACACATGGAAATAGGCTTTCAGATGGTAAAGGCTAGATTTTTCAAACGGCGTCAGCTTCTAAGTGCACGTAACCGACTCAAGAGCCTACCGAGGCAAAATGATCTTCACCGATTTTCCGGCTTTGAACATCAGCGTGAACAACCGCTCGATCCTCCGCTGAAGAATTTCGGCCATCTGGATGTTCTTCCTGTCCATTTTCCGCACCATCATCACAATCAGCCCTTCCAGGAAATACAGGCCGGTTAGAAGGTTTTCCAAATTTTCCCCTTCGGGTTTCAGAGAAAAACTCATCACTTCTTCCTCCCAGATAAAGGCGCCTTCCCAGTTTTCCGAACGCACGTTCCTGGACCATCGAGAATTTTCAATCCAAAAAGCCTTTTGTACTAAAGTGTGCATATAAAAACCCTTGATAAAAACACTGACCACAACCATATCGCGATGGTAAGTCTGGTTTTAGCGTCCGGGTCTCGGATTGCTGGCTCTTTTCCATCCCCTTGACTGAA